ACCTGCCACGGCAGAGAACAGAGCAAACAAGGAGCCGAATTACACCGGCGGCTCCTGCCAGACAGAAAAAAAAAAAGCCGTCGTCTTTAACTCGGTTCCACGGCTCAAAAACGTGGACATTTATAGTTTTAACCTCTGGGCGCCATCAGCGGATACGTTTTCTTTGTATAAATGCTTGTTGCTTAGTCTGCTAATCGAGATTAAAGACAGGATCACATTTAAAAAACACAATAAATCAAAATCGACAAAAAGAAATAGGTTTTTAGAGCACAAATATAACATAACCCCACATTCCAGATAGAGAAGGTTTAACTGCTTGTGATTGGTCAGAGAATGTGACATCACTTACTACGATGATAAACCCAAGATGATTGGTTAAAGAAAGGTGTCCCATTTTACTCCATTTTACTCATTGTTTCAAAGCTAGTTCAAAGTAATTAACAGTGATAGCACAGTCAAATCACGCCAGAATTTAGCTGATTTTTAGTATAAAAAAAAAACATTTTCCATCTCAGAGTAAATCTAAATGACCAACAACCTCATTTCACCAAAGTTTGACAGCCCTGTTGTAGCAGTTTAGACTCAGATTTATTTCTCCTTTGGATTAACATCAGTACAACAAGCCGTTTATAGGAGCCACACATTTATCTGCTTAAAACTTTACAGAAGGACAGCAGCTCTTTATTACTTTACACACACTAAGCGTGTCCCTCACCTTTTGGGGATGTGCTGACCCCCCCAGGTGATGGAGACGGTGTATTTTCCCGGGCTGCTGGGGTGATACTCGTATGCAGACACACCGTCCCGGCTGGAGATCTGCCTCACCGGCTCCTCCGTGCCCTCTGAAAACACAGTTAACACGCTTTGATGCTCCAAACCTGAGCAGAAGGCATGAGCCCAGAGAGTGGAGCACGCTCTACAACCATCAATTACAGCCCTGTAATAAATGTGGGACTTAACTAGACTTTCCACTTTAACTTGAAGCCATCTAATCCAAAATGTCGCCTTTAAAGAAGCAGGTTTAACATCTGGCTTCAAAACACAGCATTCTGTTCAAGTGGAGCTCTATGATAGTTTCAATGGATGCAAAAACAAAAAGTGGGTAAAAAACACTACTTTGCTACTTTCCAATAAAGACTGAGGAGAAGAGAGAGAGTTGATTTCCTTCACAAAGGAGAAAAAGTTCAAGTTTAAACAACAGGCTATAAGAGCTTCAACCAAAGTCCCCCAAAAGCATTTTTTGGACATCAAAGTACCAGAAACACTAGACAAAGAAATGTTGTTGTGCACTGGGTCTCTCCTGTTTATTGGTGGAAAAATAAGTGCCAGATGACAGCTTTGATGCATTTAAATCTCTGGATTATGACTAAAGGTAAACTGAGTATTTAGATGCAAGCTGATCAACTGAGCTGCACAGCATCCACAGAAGACAAAACTAAAGAAAAAAACCATCTGACAGGAGGAAAATGCTTCTTCTGGGATATAAAGGCACTTTAGGCAAATACAATTCATCCAAGAGTGTCAAAGTTTGTCAAATTAACTCATTTTCTCTGCCAGCCCACCTCGAGATAAAGAGTGGGGACAGGCATTTTGAATATTTAAAGTGTTTAACGTGTAAATATTTCCACAGCAAATCAGAAGAATGTGAGTTTTTTGTCATTGAAAAGGCTGAACGGACCACGAGGACAAAGACGTTCCTCAGATTCCTCAAAGATCCTGCGTTCCAACACGAGTCGCATTTTCTACTCGATACCCGAGGTAAATTTCCAACATGACTTGGAAGCCAAAGAAAAATATATATAAAAATTAAAATAAATAAACCAAGTTAGTTTAAAGTTCAGGTAGTGAAAGTTAAAGTTAGGGTTCATCCAGTATCTCAGTCTCCACCTCTACCTCCGTTCATCAATAACTGCTAATAAAAAACCCTTTTTATTGATCATTTCCTTATAAATTTCTTTTTACATCTCTTATATAATGCATTTGTTTTATTGCTATGTGTAATTATCGGCAGTATTTATTAAGGAGTTATCGTAGGTTTTTTGGCTGTGGAACGAATTATAGGAATTACAGTGTATTCTTCTGGGAATATTTGAACCAACATATGAATATTTTAACATACAAAGTAGGTCCTGGAACCGATTTAATTCGTATGTAGAAGCGGGCTGAACGGGGCCTGAACCCCTGACCTCGGCGCTATATATCAGACTCACTGGGTCCCTTGACGACCACCTTCAGCTCGCCGCTGCCCGCGTTCCTGGCGTCCACCTTAAAGTCGGCGACCTGCTTCACTCTGACCCCCGAGGGCTGGAGGCCCCGCCCGGTCGCCCGGCAGGCGCCCGGCACGCAGGCTGCCGGGGAAAAAAAACACAGGTTAGGCTCTGTTACAGAGCCCTCCACAACTATTAACCCCCCTTTATGGTGTGTTGAGGACTTCTGAAAATTATCTTTAAAACAAAAAAAAAAAAAAAAACAGAACCCAAATGGAAAAAAAAGAGAAAAATCCAACCTTTTATCCAAGTACATTACTTTGGTGGCAAAAATAAAATCACACGTTTAGGAAATAAAAAACGTGAAATACAGCGCCCTCCACAATTATTAAACCCCGTTTATGATGTGTTGAGGACTTCTGAAAATTCTCTTTTTAAAAAAACAACATAGAACCCAAATGAAAAAAAGAGAAAAATCCAACCATTTATCTAAGTGCATTACTTTGGTGGTAAAAACAAAATTGCACGTTTAGGAAATAAAAAACGTGAAATACAGCGCCCTCTACAATTATTAACCCCCGTTTATGTGGTTGAGGACTTCTAAAAATTATCTTTTTTTAAAAAACAACATAGAACCCAAATGAAAAAAAAAGAGAAAAAGCCAACCTTTTATTTAAGTACATTACTTTGCTGGTAAAAATAAAATTGCACATTTAAAAAAATAAAAAACGTGAAATCGTCACGTCATATTTATACTCCAGGGAAACAGGAAGTCATGAATTACTAATTAGAAGTTCCTAGATACCCGGACCAACTTTAGCAACTACAGAAGAATATATTTAAAGGAAATCAATTACATCTTTTTTTTTTTTTGTTGCTTAATTCAACTTAATACTTTTTTGCCATGTAAGCTGCTGGTAACCTTAATTTCCTGAGGGAGTCTTTCCAAGGGATCAATAAAGTACTGTCTAAGTCTCGAAGTCTAACTGTTAGGGGTGCCAACAATTGTGGGACACGTGATTTCGTGTTTTTTATTTTATAAATGTGTGATTTTATTTTTACAACCAAAGTAATGTACTTAAACGGTTGGATTTTTCTCTTTTTTTGCATTTGGGTTCCATGTCGTTTTTAAAAAAAAAGAAAAGAAAAAAAAGAAAGAGAATTTTTTGTAATCCTCAACCACATCTTAAATAGTGATGCATCGGCGTGTGTCTGACCGGGCCCCACGTCCACGGCGAACGGGCTCCTGGGGATCGGCGCCCCGCCGAAGGACAGGGCGAGCAGGTGGGGTCCGGCCTGCGCGGGTCTGTAGCTGCAGCGGTAGCTGCTGTCGCCCCGGTCCTCCATCAGGGCCTCTACGCTGTTCTGCCGGCCCTGAGGGTCCCGGATCGCCACCGTCACGTCGCCCGTACCCGCGCCTAGGCGAGGAAGAGGAGGAGCAGAGGAAGAGGAAGAGGAGGAGGTTGTGAAGCTTAAAGTAAAGCTTGTTTTTTTCTTCAGAAACAAATCTTGCTAATAAAAAACTTGTAGAAGCTGCTTTTTTGTCTGTGATTGATTATGGAGATATATTGTACATGCATGCTGCATCCTCCATCTTGCATCATATTGACTCAGTGTACCATGCATCATTACGATTCATTACAAATTCTAAGTCCCTTACTCATCACTGCATTCTTTATGATCTAGTTGGTTGGACATCACTAACAATTTGTTGAAAACAGCACTGGTATATCTTTATCTACAAAGCAATACTTGGTAAACTCCCACTGTACCTCTGTAACCTCCTCTGTGAGTTCTGGTAGTTATCTGGTTACCTTTTAATGTACCCCGGGCTTCAACCGAGTTGGGAAAAACTGCCTTCTCCTACTCTGCACCTTGGGGTTGGAATAACTTCCAGAAAGAGCTCAAATTAAAAACTCTAGTGTCCATTAATGAATGTAAAGCAACCATGAAGAATGTAGTGATGGAGATATGTGCTTGTCTTTCTTGAAATGCTCAATGTGTCTTAACATACTGCTCTGATTTTATTATGAAAAATGTAATGTGTATGAATTTCTTGTGGTTTGGCTGCTACCTTGGCCAGGTCACTCTTGAAAAAGAGATTCCGAATGTCAATGGGACTTCCTGGTTAAATAAAAATAAAAGAAGAAGAGCTGGTGGGGGTCACGGGTGGAGAGAGGCGCTCACCGGCCGTGTAGATGTCGAAGTAGGTGGGCTTGTTGGCCACGTTGCCCACCGGCTCCAGGCCGGGGCCGGAGGCCGTCACCTTGGAGGCGTCGCCCAGAGCTCTGTCCACCTCCACCTGGAACGGGCTTTTGGGGATCTCCTGCCCCGCGAACAGAACCGTCACCTGCAGGGCAGACGGGTCCCGGTCAGAGCCTCCAAACCAGGAGAACCCCAGAACCCAGCTTACAGTGGGGGAAATAAGTATTTGACCCCTTGCTGATTTTGCAGGATTGCCCACTTACAAAGAATGCAACGATCTATAACTTTAATCATATGTACATTCTAACAGTTAAAGACAGAATCCCAAAGAAAATTCCAGAAAATCACATCATATGAATTTATAAAAATTGATAATCATCTGATGAGGAAAAATAAGCATTCTTTGTAAGTGGAGAGGCATTGGTGGAAAAATAAGTGCCAGATGACAGCTTTGATGCATTTAAAGCTCTTGATTATGGCTAAAGGTAAGAGTCAAACTGTCTGCAGAGTCTTTAGATGCAACCACACCGACCAGGACAGCATCCACAGAAGACAAAACTAAAGGCCGAAAAACCTCTAAAGACGTCTTACGATGGAGTAAAAGACCAAGACCGATGTCACAGGGGAGGAAAATGCTTCTTCTGGGATATAAAAGGCACTTTAGGCAAATACAATTCATCCAGGTGTCAAAGTTTATCAAATTAATTAATCGTCTCATTTTGAATATTTAAAGTGTTTAACGTGTAAATATTTCCACAGCAAAATCAGAAGAATGCAAGTTTTTTGTCACTGAAAAGGCTGAATGGACAGAGACGTTCCTCAGATTCCTCAAAGATCCTGCGTTCCAGTACGGGTCACATTTTCTACTAGATACCCAAATTAAATTTCAAACATGACTTCGAAGTCATGTATATATAAAAATTAAAATAAATAAACTAGGTTAGTTTAAAGTTCAGGTAGTGAAAGTTAGGGTTCATCCAGTATCTCAGTCTCCAGCTCTACCTCCGTTCATCAATAAATACCTGTTCTCCAGGTGTTTCCCTACCTTGTGGGGTCCGGTGACCTGAGGAATGTAGGTGACGCTAAAGGTCTTCTTCCCCTCGTTAGGCTCCGCCTTCAGCTAACAGACACAGGCAGAGTATTAGTATTAGTATTAGGAGGTGTTGGTAAAACCCCTGGTGCTCTCTGGGCGGGGTATCCGGCGGGTACCTCCTCCCGGGTCCCGTCCGGGTGGTCCAGGTAGACGGTGACCTGGCCCTGGCCGGCGCTGAAGGCGTCCACCGTGAACACGGCCGGACGCAGGACCCGGTTCCCCGTCGGCTCGATGCCTGAGGAGCAACGGACAAACACGGGGTTTAAAAACGGCCTCCGTCCGGGCCAGGAACGAGTCAGGAACCGACTGAGACGAGCTTTCCGATTACATTTCAGTGCGTTTAAGTGACTCGATAAGAAATCTGCAGCATTCTCAGATTTACCACAAACAGCTAAAACCCTCCAAGTCTGACATAAAACCTGTTGGGGAACTAAAATCATCTTTTCCACTGTTGCGGGAACAGTGCAAATTGTTTGAACTCAGATACCTTCAGCCTAGAGCCAAGGGAGAGTCTAAGGGGAAAGGGTTTAGATGTGGATCTTAACTCTGTAATGCCAAATGTATCATATTTGATTCATACGGTTTCTGAAATGTTTTGCGTCTGACACCTTTTGCATAATTTAATGGTAAAAACTTTGCTCAAAATCCTATTGTACACAATCAGATACACCTGATAACAGGGGGCAGAAAACTACACGAAAAATAATCTTGACTTATCGCATAGTAATAAATTATTAATATCAAAAATGTATTTCTGTTTTTTCTTTTTACATATTGTTAAAAGGCCAAATAAAGACTTCAAACCAAAAAAAAGTAATTTTCTGTTTTGTTTTATTCTTGGATCAGGCTTTAAAGGGTTAAGACACTTAAAAGTATCCTCTCTTTACCTTTGAGCCTTCAAATGGCTTCAATCCCCTTTCGTTCATTAAAATCTCATCATTCTCACTTGTAAACAGAATTTTTTCCCCTCAATCT